CGGCTCCCGCTTCCGGCCACCGCCAAAGGTCGCTGCCCTCGCCAGGTCACCACTTTAACGGCTTTTCTAATTACGCCCTGATCTGGACCTTTAAAGTGATTAAACCCCTCTTTAAAGGGGTTGCAGATGTGTGAGGGCCAGGGCCAGCCCAGCACCGCCCCTGCCCGGGACCCAGCACGGCAGGGCTGGGGTGTGCGGGGCCATCTCTCCCTGCTGCAAGCTCTGCTCAAGTGACTTTTTCCTGCAGATTGCATCGTTTTCATGTTTTTGGGCTCCTTGACAGTGCTTTCCTCACTGCCAGCACACAGAATCATTGTGGTTGGATGAGACCTTTAAGATCAAGTCCAACCATTAACTGACCCTACCATGCCAGTTAAACCATGTCCTGAAACACACGGGTTGTACTGGCCCAGTTAAAGGGATCTGGGTCCATACTGGCCTATGCCCTTGGTTTAATTTGGAGGCAGCCCCTGGGCTTGCCACAGCGGCTGTTTCCCAAACACAATCCCACATAGGATGGACACACGAGGTCCTGGGCTGGGAGCAAGGCAGTGGTTGCCCCATGCAGCATCCGCCTGCCCCAAAACCAGCCCTGCCCACTGTGGGTTTGGGGGGAAGGAGAAGCCGAAACCGCCCTCCTGCTGCTATGGGGAGGGAGGCTCTGGTGCCAGAAAGAGCACGGCGTGTTGCCAGCCAAAAAGTGGAAACAGTGGGAGTGGTGATGCCCTGAGGCCATGCAGCACCAGGGAGGCTGTGCTGGACCACACCAGGCTGCAGGATGCTGTGCAGGGCCATGCTGTGCTGTTGGGTGCCATATGAGGCCATGCAGTGCCGTGGCTGGAAGTCAGCGTTTGCAGCCACCCCGGCTCAGCCCCACAGCGCTCCCAGGGCAGCAGCTCTGGTCAGAGCCCCTGGGCCCCACAGAAAGCTACAACACAGCTGCGATCGCTGCCAATTCCTGTGACACAGCTGCAATCAATGCCCACTCCCTCCCACAGCTGCGACCAGGCCAGGAGTGCCCAAAAGCCCCGGCCCTGCCCAAAAACCTCAGCTGTGCTGGGTGGTTTTTGCTTGGGGGCTTTGGTGGCTGCAGCAGGAGATGAGGAGCTCCTCCACACTGCAGCCCAGCTCTGGCTCCCTCAAATTGGCTTTAACCCACAGCAGCAGCACCCTTTGGGGTGCTCCTCATTTGTACAAGGACCTGCTTGAGCTGCTGCTTTGTGTCTCCCAGTGGCGCAGAGGTAAGTGGGACCAGTACAAAAGCTCACTGGTAGCCTGTGTGGGAGGTGTTGATGGGGCTGGTTACTGCTGGGGGGGTGGTTGGTGGTAGCAGAAACACCTTCACTTAAACCTAATAAAAACCCTAAGCCCAACCTTGCAAAAAAACCCCAACCCACCTATGCAAGTCTGCAAGTGCAGGTAGCAATGAAAAGAATAATGCAGAGCTTGGCTTTGCCGTGATGATGTCTTCAAACCCTCACACGAAAGTAAATGTAAACCACGGAAATACAGAGTGTAGGATGGGGACTGCAGCTGGGGTGACAGAACCGGGGTCACTCTGGAGTCACTGCTGGTGTAGACACGAGTGAGTTCTCCAGGATCAAACCAGGGACCGGGCATGGAGGGATTAGGGATCAAGAGCAAATCCTCCT